AAAGAGGCGCGGGCCCGCTTAGATGGAAGCGGGATCCGATGTCGACGGCGGCTGCTTTGCACTCGCCGCGAGAATTTTCGAAAAAGGCCGAGGATGACGAGACAGCGTGACGGCTCCTGGCAGGCGCCCGCCAAAGGCCGACCGCCGAGCGAAACTCCGAGGGAGAATAAACGGGAGTCTCGGGCCCGCTCCTATCTTCCGTCGTCGTCCCCTCGGTGAAAACAAAAAACCGTCATCACCCGCGCGAATCCCGTCCTTGCGCCGTAGACGCAGACGCCTAGCGAGCGATACTCAGAGGATCAGAGGGTCGGACGAATTAACAAGAGCGAGCATATTCGCTTTCTCGCTTTAATAGCTCGGCTTTGAGCATACGTGGCTTGGCCGTCGTCGTACGTCGCTTCCGACTTGTAGCGAGTGATTTAAAGTATTGCTGAAGCATTGCTATAAGTTGTTTATTTTCCAATAAGTGACGAGCGGAATGTTTCGTTGCATTCCGTGGACGTTGTTATTAGGGCTCGAGACCGGGGCTTATTATAATGAAAATTATGACATATCCATTTCTTTAGCCGGGCGATTCTACATTAATTTCCTTCGCAATAATTAGAGGTAAAACAAATGACGCGGATTGATATTGCGTTTAATACCGACAATAAGTAACTATCGATGATAATATAGTAATAGAAGTAAGATCGAATAAAGATCGAATATAAGATAGTAATATCGATGATACTTTTAGTTAGTTAATTTTTAAATGCGCAGAACATGAAAAACGTCGACTCAAACGTTGTCGACAGAATTTCTAGATTATACCAATTAAGGCTTTAAGACGGAAAATGATCGCTAAACGAACATAAGCATGGCCTCTCATATTTTCATATTATTTCATTATCTTAGACGAATTAGTTAATATGATTATATGACTTATAAACTCCTAGGAAAATTATTCGCGCCTTTATTTAAATGCTTGAGCGATTGTTTTTCATCTTTTTTTCTTTTTTAGGCAAAACTTTCGTCTAAAATTTTAATCGTAAACGAAAGAAAGGCTCGTAGCTTTTCCAATGAAAATTACTTTGAAATTTGAGGCTGACTTTGCCGACAACGAGCGCATCTTCATACTGCACTTGCAGGAGAATGAAAAAACTTGATTTGTAATTCACGATGATTCTCTTTTAAAATATCGTGAGCATTGAATTCCTGATTGTTCGAGTTGTTCGAGGATAATTGCAATATCTGCTAATATTTTAATTATCAACTCGGCATAATATAAACGAGGATATGATTTGCCTTGGCGTGCAGAACCACGTAAAATAGCTTGTCTGGGATGATTGACGTTAATTCATGCACCCCCCCACCCCCGTGCGCCAAAAAAAAAACCCCCTCCGCCATAAAAAAATGAATAAAATAAATAAGAAAAGAAAAAGAACATAAGAAAACGACCAGCTCTCGGCAAAGCGATGAAACGTCTTGAAATGATAATGTAACTCGCATCCTGAGCAATTAGCAGCAGGTCGTTTTCTCAGAACGGCTTCGTATAAATCTAGCGGTGGTGGCTTCCGGGCGATAGGGGCTTAAAAAGGAGAGAAAAAACGAAAAAGCCCGAAGATGTTGAGGAAGGAGGGAGAGAAGGAAAAAGTGGCTGCCTCGGCGGAACAAGACGCAATATGCGAGCAAGACAGTCAGGGTAGCTTAACGCAAAGTGAAACGCGACATCGGTTTAATGAGACACGCATTGGCGACTCCGAGCTCGGCACTCGCCGAAGCGGTCATACGGATAATCGTCAAGTCCGTCCTTCTCCTTCCCGGAGAATTGGCGACGCAGGAAAAAGGGCGGCGCATAGTGCCAAACGCTAGTGCACACCCGGGGCTAATCATAGCCTCCTTACCCAGACAACCTGTCACCTACGATTTTCCAAGCAAATGTGAGACATGCACGCCACGCCAATCATCCCTCTGTTTGTTTGTTTGTTTGTTTGTTTGTTGGTTTTTGTGTAGATGCGTGCGTGCGCTCGCGGCCGAAGCTATCGCACGCATGGATGCACTTTTCTCTCTCGACTTTCGCCCAGCATCTGACGTTACGCTGGAATATGGTATTTCGGGGAGGATCGTGGCATCCTCCTATTATGTCACATCTTTGCCATTTGCTTTGCCGGTCCTCTGGCAAAAAGCGCTGAGCGCGAAATCGCGAGAATTCATAATAATACTCGGGAATGGCTTTGCGGTCGGAGACCTTTCGGCTCGGCTCCCGACTATCATCATTTTATGTTATGTGGGCGTGCATTGTTTGCTTAATTGCAACAATCGCCTGGGCTTGTTGGATTTCTCAGATAAATTTCCTGTCCGTTTATCGAGTACGTTGTTACGTGATTTCTCATATTCTTAACCAACGACGGTTTGCAGCTTTGTATGCCGTTCGATCTACAACTCACGGCTTCGAATTCGTGCTAATAATAAATGATTTTTCAATGTTGTAACAGGATGAAATTCGAGGACCCCTTATTTTTAAATGTATATTGGATTTTCATGATAAAAAATGCCGTAGTTAAACATATTATTTATTATTTAATCGTAGAGCGGTTGCTTATTTGTTTTCGTAACCGGCTGTAGATATAAGTGTTGCATACTTTTTTTTTTTTTAATCATCGTTCAAAGCTAAAAGATTATTAAAAAAAAAGAAAAAATATTATCAATACGTAAGTAAGCTATTGCATCGCATACTATATATATATATATATATATATATATGTATAATTGTGATATTACGTATCGTTGAAATTGGTTATTATTGGAAAGTAAAGAATTATAAATATACATTATTATAGAAATTTTCAAAATTATTTAGCGGTTATATATTTATCAATTCTCGGAAGATCGATAATCGTGAGAGCCAAACATTGGTCAATAATTTACTATAATTATAATTTCACTCGATTTATACGGCATTCGATTGTGCACACATAGACACGTATAATTGATAATATTGTCCAACTAATATAACAAGATCGATGATTTATGTCGTAAGATAATTCTATTTAGTGGTCTAATTTATATCGCATAATTGAGCGATTTAAGATGAAATATTTATTTATAATTTACCGAGTGGGAAATGAAATTCAAGGGTTCCTATTTTGCACTCGGTTCATGTCAGATCGTGCCGTGATCCAAAATTTCAAGAATGCCACATCATTAGCTCCTACCATCAATTAACAATTCCTCCTCCTCCGCTCCAGCCCCACCCCAAAACGGCCCTTTTACATTTTTACTTATTTATTTATTTTACCCACCAATATAAGGAAGCTAGCAATAAGATATATAATAAAACCCGGATCGCTAAAAGTTATATGACTCGAGTAATATTTGACTCCCAAGGCTGTGGAGCGTCCGCGGGAAGTTTACGAGGCTCATTGTCATTTGCTACTCGTAATAATAAACAGACCAGGTGAAAATAAATAAGTCGGGCATTTAGTCACACATCGTTAATCCGGGCCTCCTTATACGCTAGCATTTATTAAGTCGCGCAAAGCGCGACGCCCGTCTTCGCCGAGATGAATTCTCGCGCGTCTCGGAGGAAAATCCTGGCTCCGCTGCGAGCCCCGTAACATTATTTTCGGAGCGCGCGCGCTGTCGCGTATTTTGGACTTGATTCATGAATTAACGTCAGCATTGATTTTAGGCTCGTGACAAGTACGGGCGTGAAAATTTATTTCTGCACGGCTCGCACCGGAGGAGGTAGATGAGCTCTCCTTGGCTGAGCGCCGCGTACTCGACGCCGCGACCTGAGGCCTACGACCGAGCCTACGACCACCATACCTCATACCCGTTCGTACCTGCACTCGTGCTTCCGAGAGTGCGACCCTCGTCGCCAGCTCCTCCCTCACGAACGCATCCGGGTAATGCGTCCTCTCGAAGACCCTCTCCAGGGCGGCCAGCTGCTGTGCCGAGAACGTCGTGCGACTCCGCCTCGGCCTTCTGCTGCCGTTCGACGTCGAGTTCTCGCTGCAGTCTTTTCAACAGAATAACATAAATACCGTCACTCTCTAATCATTTGCTAAGTATTTCGCGGCGAATCGAGCGAAGCTTATATCCTTCGACTAGCCCGGGACTCAATTTTACCATCGCTTTCATAAATAAGCCATTGCGAATTAATACTTGGATCATCGAGCTGTTCGATTACATCTTTCTAGCTTTCACTCGTTCAGCCATTAATTTATTAGATTTCGCGACTACGTACACGCGCGCGCGCGCGCACATTCCCATTGTAAAAAAATCTTTAAAACAATCAATTAAATGTAAGCATTTAATGAAAGCGTTGAAATTTTTTTTGGAAAATGTAAGTAATTACAGTTCCAATAAGGATATCAAATTTAATGACGTTAACGAATTAAGTATTTACACGTGTGATATGGCTTACATTATCACTTTATAACTTTTAATTATTTTCACGAAATAAAACTGCTCAATTAGTTAATGTTCGATAAAGTCTTGCGTGTATTCCTACGTTAATACGCACTCCCTCTCTCTCTCTCTCTCTCTCTCTCTCTCTCTCGCTAGCGTGCGCGCGCGCGAATTTGAAGAATTATCTTACATTTTACAGCCTATTAATTATAAAATCAAACTGTAAAGCCTTTTTACCTCTGCCGTAATATATCTTTTATAGCCTAATCTGATGAAAATTGCCTCTGGCCGGATCATTTCATACTTTCTTTTTAGTTGCACAGTGTTGGAAATAATTTGCTTGCGTAATACAAATTAGCCGTTACAACATACTTGATTAAAAAGTTCGCGCTCCTACTGATTTTCCTATTTTACTTTTTGTTACACAATCCACCCCCTCCTCCTCCTCCTCCTCCATCGGCAACTAGCAATTAGTCCACATTACGGATAATGGCCTATTATATCGATACTCATTTCCCATTTTCCAACCGATATCGATGACCCATCGGGCTGCAATACCGTATCACTATCATTACCATTATTCCGTTGGTCATTGATATCGAAGATCGCCGCCGTGGGCATCGGAGCGATGGTTAACGGTCGAGCGGCCGCGAAAAGTGCCATTCCTCATTCACTCGAGTCGCGCGTTTTTCACGCGGCTCGCGAAAACCGAGCACTGGGATTAACGTATCAGGGGCCGACTCACCGAACAAGGCGGACTCTTTTCCACAGCGTCTTCGATCGCAATTTCGCGCTCGGCTGGAGTGGACGCGCTGGCCCGGGAATGAACCGAGGATGAATGGACCCAGTGTACGCGCGGCGCACTTTACCGGTAATCGTGTCGCCCTCGGCTCATCAAAGCGGTATAATGCGAGCCGCATGCGGCCGCCGATTTCGATTCCGATTCCGATTCCGATCGGCGCTGCCCTCGACGCCTGCAAAAACAGCCGACGTCGTCTCCGGGACTGTCCGCGTCCATTCACTCGTCGGCTTACTTACCTGTGGCCCCTTGCCCCACCCACCCGCCCAGCGTCAACAAGCCTTCTTTTGTCTTTTTGTCCCTCGATTTCTCCTCCCCGTGTCCTTTAAAATTCTCGTTTCATTTCGCGCTGTCAGTTTACGTAACTCTTCGTTTCACGGATGTTTTTATCGGCTCGCGGACGAGAAGCTGCGCGAGATTGGCAAGTAAAATCGCATCAGCAGCATGGGAATGCGTATTTCAACAAATTTCAAATAAAAAATGTTTAAGATATTGCGGCTAGGAATTAATTATTAATATCGGATTTTTATCAACATCTTACCGTACATAGCTTGTATTTCAATTTATTGCTACGTGATAAGATCGTACCTTCTAATTGACGATATATATATATATATATATATATATATATATATATATATATATGTGTATATTGACGTAAATGTATGGGACTTTTTTCTCGTACAAGCATTCCGTCATTAATTAATGTTACTTTATATAATGTCACGTAGGAAACTTTAATTTCTGTTCTAATATAATATAACATTACAATACTTACGTACTTTATAAGGCGTGTTAAAGTATTAACTACTTTTATTACAACACGCGCGCACGCACACGCACACTCACACAACACACCGATTTAACAAATAATATGCGATGGGAGTGACTGCTTTTTTTCTTGTATTTTATTGAAAATTAATGTCGTATATAAATTTTTAATAATTATAATTATATAACTTTTATATAGCAACTTCTTCTCTTAACTATAATATTTCCTAAGTATTTACGTACCTTTACTATAGAGCATTATAAGCACTACATAATAACACGATATGATAAAGTTTTTATAGTTGATTTTAGATTTTATTTTAATTTATTGCAGATTTCCAGTAACTGCGCAAAGTGGATATGATATGCCATTTTCCAATGCTCAGATCTTTAAATTCTACGTGGAATTAAAAATTATAACGTTGAAAATTTCTCAATGCATAATATTAAAAATTCTGTTAATTCGTATTGTAATGTTGAAGATTACAATAGCAAAGTGATGTAATAACGAGTGAGTAAAAGGTGTCGATAAAATTCTCGATAAGAAGCTTCGCGTTACTCCGTACTCAAGTCTTCATTTACAATTTGACATTATATAAGTTATTCATTAGGCGATGAAAAACTTAATGAAATCATAAAAAGCTTAAGAGCCGTGAGAAAGTTACAAAGGCAGGCTCGAGACAATTTTTATAACGTACCTAGGCTCGTACTCGGTGTTGCGAGTAATCGCGAAACTGTAAAATCCTGCGGCGCGTGTGAATTGGTATTGTGCGGCGTTAGTACCGTTGCACTTGGTCCGTGCTCCATCCCCGACAGCATTTTCTTCGTCGCTTGCCAGTCGATAGCCAAGAATAATCAATGTTTTTTAAATACCGAGAACGGGTTCAGCCATCTCCAGTCAATCTTCGCATTATCGCACGAATCGCCGGTCATAGAGTAATATCGCTCATTCCCCGCTGATCACCCCGATCGTAAGCTCAATCACAAAGAGTGCCGAAGCCGATAGGCATCCTTCTTTGCTCCAAGAGTGACGAAAGGGAGGCAGTCTCGATCAGGCCTTACTTCTTGGAATCAGTGCCTTGTCCCAAGCAGCGGCATCTGCTAGAATAATCGTAATTGCGTTCTGCCAAAATCTTCGTAGTGCAGAATACATTGTCCATCGTTCATGAGACAGTTATACCGGAAGTCCCGGTGTCCTCGTCACACCGAGATTCTTAATCAGCATGTGGTCGGCGGGAGGCCCGCTCGGCCATCCAAACGAAAAAATATTTCCTAGCCTCGCGCACGTTTTTCAGTTAGTGGCACACGCGCTGGATTCAAATTGTCCGATGTTAATCCAATTGTCCTGGTGTCCTTTCAATTTCAGTCGATGTCTACGTGCCACTGTGTGAAGAGGTGAGGAGAGGGTGAATCGGTAAAGACACAGGGACGAAGAGGAAGAAAGCAACGCCGAGGAACGCGTGCTCTCGACTTACGCGAACAGCAAAGGCAGAATGCCAACTGACTTGCGGCGAGTTAAGACGTGCTCGAAAGAGATCTTCTCTTTCTTCATCGTCTCCTTTCTCTCTCTCTCTCTCTCTCTCTCTCTCTCTATCTATCTCTCTCAATATATCTACCACTCCCTTTTATCGTCGTTTTATTCTCTCTCTCTCTCTCTCTCTCTCTCTCTCTCTCTATCTATCTATATATCTATCTATCTATCTAACTCGCGCGCGCGCGCGCGCGCACTCTCATCTGTTCCGCGGCTGGCCGAGAAATGGAACGTTTCGGAAGAGTAGGTGGAGATCTCGAGGTGATGGCTCCACCCTCATTAGGCTCTCATTGGACCTCCGCGGTTGGCCGCCGATAAACTCTCCTGGATCACGTAGCGGTTCGCGAACGCATATCTTTTTCTCTTATATTTTTCACTTTTTTACCGCCCGAGCTTAGGCCGACGGCTCCTTCTTTTATTATGCGGTCATAGCTGCTTTTTACGGAGACTTCGCTCAACGTTTTGCAGCTATCAATTTTATTAAGACGGCAAATAATTTCTTCGTCGCTTACTGGGCTACGAACTATTAAACGCCAAGAAACTTTAATTTTCCTCTCGCTTCGATTAAGTGGCTATTTCAAGTTATCTGTAACTTGAAATTAAATTATTCCAAGGCAATAATTACATTTTTTTCTCACTAAATTAATGAAAGCAACATTAAGAGACTACCTTATCAAACTTTGTCTATAGTTATTTCATCTTATTCATTTATCTTTACTAATGATTGATTCTGATTTCTAAAGAATCCAAAATCATTGACATACTGTAATGGAAAAAACATCTAGATTAGCATCGCGAGAAAGCCGAGACTTTAAAGATGCTAAAGAGAAAAAACCGGTGCTGAATATCAATGCCAACTTTCATTTCATCTAACCCTCAAATTTAGCATGAAAACTGCTAATAACGATCTCTCATAATTCGAGAATCCAGTTGGTTCGGATAATCTTTTCAATTTATCGAAATACAAGCTACAATGTCGAAAGATTATTTCTTGTAACTGTTAATTAAAATTTTTTTTTAAAAAAATGCGTGATTTGATATAATCAAATCGTTAAAATATAATAAATATTTAAAATTAAAACTTTTAATTATAATTTTTTAATGCTCTCAATTCTAATGTGCATTATTATTAATTTGAAATAAAAATTTTCGTAGTAGATTATATTTCAATAATAAAGAGCAGCATAAACTTACAATTCCATTCAATAAATGCAGAAAAAGTAAGAAATTCTATAAAATCAACGAAAACTTACTATTATTCTTTTAAATGCACACAAAGCCCGTATGATTTAAGTGTTACAATAGATTAATAATTTTCTGAATTCTGCATCATACCTTACCTATACACACACACATATATGTAAATGTATTCACTTAAAATAATTTATTAACGCCTGTAGGGAAGAAAATATAATTCGAATGTTATAGCTTTAGAAATTTATCTATATTATAAAAATTGGCAAACAAACATTTGTGAGAATTTCAATGTTAATTAGAGATTACATTACTTTTTCCTAAACTCGCGTCACTTAATAATCTACAATTCGTTATTTACCCATTACATAAATAATGTCAATGAAATTGCAATGAAATGTAATGCTCAAAAAAGTTCTCCTACTCGCTTATAATATGTATCTTATACGTTTGAAAGTCAATATAGTGCACCCTTATCTCAGTGGAAATTAACAACTTTAGGATACTTTATTCTCTTCTAACGCACTTGAAATAATGATATTCAAGTAAGTTTCACGTAACGATCGGTCCATCAATAGATTAAGCGATTCGAGTCCATTATGTTTTTCTCTCTCTCTCTCTCTCTCTCTGTCTTTTTTTTTTGTTTTTTTTTTTTTAAATTCAATTCACCACTCTGTTGGTTACGGCTATAATACAAGAGAGTTTGGTGCTTAAATGTCGCGTCGACAGTGAATTAGAGATGACGATAATGGGGGAATTGAATCGGAGTGACGGAGTGATGAGCCCCGCTCATTTTGTTATTTAAAATGAATTGTTAATCGTGTTAAGTTGATGTGTCAACTTGCTGATTTAATCAATTATCATTATTACGAAATATAATTGAATTCATTCGCAGTTTTCCGAGCTATAAGTTTATAAAAGAAGATGATCTCAGACGACAACTTCATTTAGAAATAATTTACCTCTTATTTCATAAATTTAGACTTTTAAGTATTTGCTTTATTTTAAATTCTCAATCAATCAATCAAAATCAGATTCTCCATATTATATTAGGAAAGTAAAATATGTTAGATCTTGTTTTTAAAATTTTAAAAAATTTTTAATGCAAAATATTTATAATTCATCTCTAAATGTCATTTAGAATAATAATAAATAGAAAGATAGTAAATACATATGATATTATTCTAATAATTACCTAATTACATTTACGTGATATAAACAGAATAAGTAGCATATATAATATATTGCAATATTACAATCGATGAAATGAATAAATAATGAAATTAGAAAGAACGAATATATTTACATAATTGCGAATTTTTTGTGTTAATGCATGCAACTATGATACTTACATTATTTATTTGAAATTGATTTTTTCGTTTTCCATCTCTCTCGACCTTCGTTATATTTTCTACTATTTTTTATTTTAAACTCCATTCTTTCCACTAGAAGTTTAACTCTTCATGCGTACCTTTCTGTCTCTCTCTCTCTCTCTCTCTCTCTCTGCATTACCAACGCATACACTTACGGACGTATGCAATACTTATATGACTCTTTTTTTTCTCTCGCTTTTTGCTCATTCTTTCACACCGTATGCCCGTATATTTCTAATGCAAATTGATAGAACAGTTGTAATGGTATATACTTTAGCTTCATGCATTATACAATTTTGCTCAAATAATTATTTGAGTTTCTGGAAAATATAATTAAATATAATAAGCATCTTCGTTTGCTAGCATCTTCTGTAATGTTAGGGTAAATATACTTATTAAAAAATATAATAAATAAATTCTAAATAAAATAATTAGTTCGTTCAATTTAAGAAAATCGAATTGGAAATTGAGTATTTCACATCTCCAAATGTATTATACTTTATTAAGTTAAATTTTATCGATATGAAAACAACATATGCACTTAAAACTCGAATAGGAAATACGTATAACCTTTTAATAGTGATTCATTCCCTTTTAATAATATTGTGTTCAATTAACTTTTCAAGATATTAAAATCAAAGAATGCAATATACTCTTTAATTAATCTATATCATTTATGGGAAATCGTTCGTAACTATCTGATACTTATCAGATTTATAGTTTTATTTGAAATTAAGAAGCAAATATTCTTGTATTAAGCCCTATACGTTCGTTATTGTAGTAAAATAAGAAAATTTTAATTAATCAAAAAATCTATAATCAATAATGGAATTCATCTACTTGTGTGTTAAAATAATTGGCATAAAAAAAGTTGAACAGATTTTTGTATTATTCTCTCGTATCTTTTTTCTTCAATTGATAAAAGTGACTGAATACCTGTGAAGTGAAATGGAATAAATTATCAACAACAACAAAAAAAATAAATAAATAAATAAATAATATGCATATCAAAACCGTATAGGACGTAATTTGCATTTCCTTTATAAGTAACAAATATTTTAGTTCTAATGACGTACAAATGGATAACAAACAAAAGGATTTGAACTCTAATTTTTTAAAATAAAGTGATTTTATAATGTTAAATGTTTGTGTATGTGTAACTTTATCTTTTAAAATAATTACAATAATAATTAATTGAGAATATAGTAATAAATAGTTATACTTTATTAATTATTTAAAATAACACAAAATTTTTTTTTTTTTAATTTTCCATAAAATCTAACGTTTTATGATAAAATTACAATAAAAAATAAAAATTTATATCTGATTTTATTTTATTTAAGCGCAATATATGTATTTATAGTGGTCTTTCTTTTCTTCACAAGGAATATTTCAAGTAATCAACAATATGAGAATCTTCGGTAGTCGGCGTTCAAAATTATTTGCGATGCAGTTGATGCTGAGGAAATAAAGACAGCAATATCAACAATTGTCAAATATCGAGAAATCGTTCATTAGCCTATTAAAACTAATTATAAGTACGGATAGGCGTATCGTATTAGTATGGGTAATATTTATTTACTTCGCCCAGTGGAAACAATAGTTGATAATTGACATACAACATAATTGACATATCAAAGATAAATATAGTATATTATTCACTTCGTTATATATAATTGTCCAATTAGTTGTTAATTAATGAATTTAACCACGACCAAAGTTAGGGAAAACATTATTGACTAATAAAATATGCTAGGTATTTTTTAATTTGAATATTATCTTCATGAACGTTATTGTGCATGACTCGGTTAGACACTAAATTTTATATGGCGA